CTTAAGGTTCGATGACGCTAGGGTTATAAAGGAAGTTTGTATGTGGTTACCGAATGTTGTTCGGAGTCCCGGATGAGATCCCGGACGCCACGAGGAGTTCTGGAATGGTCTGGAGGTAAAGATTTATATATGGAAAGTTGTTGTTCGGGTTCCGGGAAAAGTTTGGTTTTTTCCGGTATTGTACCGGGAAGCTTCCAGAAGGTTCCGGAGGATTCCGGAGGGGTCCGGAGGTCCGGAAAATGTTCCACCACGTCCAATACAGCAGCATGGGCTATAAGGGGGCGCCCTAGCCTTAATGGGCCAGGGGCACCAGCCCCCCCAAGGACCATGCGCATGGGAGAGGGGAAACCCTAAGGGGGAGGGCCTCCACTTGACTTGGGAGGCACTCCTCCCCCCTTTGGCCGCCGCCCCAACCCTAGATGAGATCTAGGGGGGTCGGCCCCCTCTCTCCCCACCTATAAATAGTGGAGGGGCGGGAGGGCAGCCGCACCCAAGTTCTGGCGCAGCCCTCCCCCTCTCCCAAGTCCTCCTCCTCTCCTGCGGTGCTTGGCGAAGCCCTGCAGGATTGCCACGCTCCTCCACCACCACCATGTCGTCGTGCTGCTGCTGGATGGAGTCTTCCCAACCTCTCCCTCTCTCCTTGTTGGATCAAGGCATGGGAGACGTCACCGGGCTGCATGTGTCTTGAACGCGGAGGTGTCGTCCGTTCGGCACTAGGATCATCGGTGATTTGGATCACGACGAGTACGACTCCATCAACCCCGTTCACTTGAACGCTTCCACTTAGAGATCTACAAGGGTATGTAGATGCACTCTCCTTCCCTTCGTTGCTAGATTACTCCATAGATTGTTCTTGGTGATGCGTAGAAAATTTTGAATTTCTGCTACGTTACCCTACAATATCTCCTGTGCTATTTATCATGATCATGGAGCCACTGCATCACATGTTTGAGCTTGCTACTTCAAGGGGCATGCTTGCTCCTCTAGCAAGATCTGGGATGAAATATCGGCTATCAATGTTCGCCGACGACGTGGTTTTCTTCACCATGCCGAATGAGATAGACCTTCGCACTTGTGCGCTACTGCTACAGACCTTTGGGGAGGCCTCGAGGCTCAAGATAAACCTCGCAAAAAGTGCAACATTCCCGATTAGATGCCCGGCCGAAACAATGGAAATGGTGGAGCGGACCTTTGGCTGCCCTAGCGGCTCCTTCCCTTGCAAGTATCTGGGGCTACCCCTCACCCTCAGAAAGCAGTCCTAGTGCAACTTTCGTATCTTGTGGATCAGTTGGTGGGTGCGCTGCCGAAGTGGAAGGCAACCAAGATGCCCAAGAGCGGAAGGCTACTGCTGATTCAATCGGTTCTATGCGCAATGCCACTGCACGCAATGCTCGCACTTGATTTGCCAAAGAAAACAATCGCTGCTTTGAACAAAATTTGCCGTGGTTTTCTATGGAGTGCCGACTCAACTGCACATGGTGGAAGCTGCGCCGTAGCCTGGGAAAGAGTTTGCTCGCCAAAGTGGGCGGGAGGACTTGGCATCCCAAATCTTCAATGGCTAAACATCGCTCTACAAGCATGATGGCCGTGGTTGCAAAAGTTTGACAAGGAGCGACCCTGGGCAGAATTCCAAATCCAAGTTCCGAATGTTGCACGTCAATTAGTTCACTCTGCGGCGAGGCCAGTTGTGGGAAATGGCCAGAGCATCATGTTTTGGGAAGATAGATGGCTAGATGGGTATTGTGTCGCTGATATTTCTCCCAACATCTATGCCCGCATGCGGCCCCGAACGAGGAAAACCTGCTTGGTTGCCAGGGCACTTCAAGATAATGCTTGGGCGAGGGACGAGGACCCTGAGGTAAACCCCGACGCCTTGCACGAGTATCTCGCACTGTGGACATGGGTTGCCGGCATTCCGCTGGATCAGACGAGGCAGGATGAAGTGGTTTGGTCCTGGGAGACGAACGACATATACACCAAGCGATCAGCCTACATGACAAGGTTTTGGGGAAGGGAGGTGGATCAAACAGCGGAATTCACATAGAAAGCTAGGGCTCCGCTACGCTGCCGATTCTTTGCGTGGTCGGCCCTGCAGAATAGATGTTGGACATCTGACCGCCTGGCAAGGAGAGGCCTTGATCACCAAGACAATTGCCCGCTCTGCAACCATGAGGAGGAAAGCATCGACCACCTATTCATCCGATGTATCTTTACCAGGCAGCTTTGGGCTGTGATCTTCCAGGCCATGGACAAGCCATGTTGGGTGCCCACGATGAACGACACGCTCGCTGGTTGGTGCGCGACCCAAAACACTAATGAGACCCACAAGAGAGTGCTCAATGCTCTTCGTGTTCTAGCCATGTGGAAGATTTGGAAACATCGCAATACAATTGTGTTCGAGGGTGCTTCTCCATCGGTGACCTATGTGCTTCGTCGCTTCATGGAGGAAGGCCCGAATTGGAAACAAGCGGGTTTACTTAAGGGCGATCTTGCCGGCTTCTTCAACCGGGTGGAACGGCGGGTGAGCACGACAAGTTAGCTTCTGAGAAAGTAGAAAGTAGGGTGGAGGTGGTAATGTTGTACATGTAAATACCGTGTAACAACATTGTGGAGGGCTTTTTCACCCCTTTCCTCTTTAAATATATAGTACGCACACTCGTGCGTATTCGAGAAAAAACTCTAGCGGGATGTATGGGCTGGCTCGGCAGAGAGATGTAGCTAGCTCCCGGTCTACGCAAGCAATTAGTCGCTAATCAAACGGCAAAATTCGACTAAAAAAATCAAACGACAAAGAATGCATGCAAGGCTGCACTTCATGGGAGGCCCACACTCCAGCCACCGTGAAGCTCCTGGTGGCCTGAGCGCTGCGCAAACTCCTTTTTACCGAAGCAGGGATGTACCGGCATAGCATCCACCGTTCAGCTGCTTTGTGATCCGAGTCTAAGTGGGACCCATTCATATGTATACCCATGTATTGTGGCAGATAATCATCTGTATATGGTCAAATTAATATCACATCAATAGGCCCCATGGCAGGAAAGGTAGTACTTTTTGCAGTGGGCTGTATGCATGCATGCAGCATCTCTCCTCTCTCTCTCTCGCATTTTATTTTTGTTTACATTTTTAGATGGCCAATATATTTTACAGTAATATTCTATTATTGAAAATTTTCATATATTCAAATTCCTGAACATAAGATCTTTAGAATAAGACCAATCTTGAATATATTTAAACTAGTTTAATTTTTACTATTTCAATCATATCAAAATACTAATTTCAGTCATTTCAAATTACAATTTTTGAAAAAATGAAATCAGTTGTTGAAATGATTGAAACCACTTTTCAGAATATAGTTTTCTTTGTAAGTTTCATATTTCAGCTTCTGAAACTGTGTCTTCAATGGAGTGTCTGTAATATGTTTTTCTGAAACTAGTGAAATCTATCTTTTGTAATGAGTGTAATTAGTTTTTTGAAACAAGTGAAATATTGTATTTCAATTGAGCGACTGTAATGTATTTTCTGAACTGAGTGAAATAAGTTATTTAAAAAAGTGAAATATATCTTTTTTGGTGTCAAACGACTATTTCAAAGTTTGAAACAGATATCTCTGCCGAGTGAAATGCATTTCAATATTTTTTTGGTAAATATGAAGTGAAATTAGTTTTTGAGATATTTTTTTAAATTAGATTTCAAAATAACATGTTTCATAGTCTTCAAAAAATATCTCGTTTCATAGATTTCACGTAGTTCAAAAAATTAATTTCGCCAAGTGAAATCACTTTTGTAACAAGTGAAATCACTTTTTTGAACGAAGTGAAATATAGTATTTTAATTGAATGAGTGTAATATGTTTTCTGAAACTAGTGAAATGGGTGAAATTTATCTTTTGTAACGAGCGAAACACTTTTTTGAAAGAAGTGAAATTTAGTATTTCAATTAAATGAGTGTAATATGTTTTCTGAACTAGTGAAATCTATCTTTTGTAACAAGTGAAATCACTTTTTTGAACGAAGTGAAATATATTAATTGAATTGAATGAGTGTAATATGTTTTCTGAAACTAGTGAAATTTATCTTTTGTAACGAGCGAAACACTTTTTTGAAAGAAGTGAAATTTAGTATTTCAATTAAATGAGTGTAATATAGTTTGAGATGAGTGAAATAATCAAATACAATAATATTGAAATATGATACATAAAATTCAAACTAGTCAAAATGTATCCAAGATTGGTCTTGTTTGAAAGGTCTTATCGTCCTGGACTCGAATATATAAAAAGTTTCAAAAATAAACATTTGGTTCAAAACATATCAAGTATTCAAAAATATGAGAATGAAATTAATCCATGTGAGTGTGTGGAAAGAGGGGCTGCATGCATGCGTCATTCATCTCCACTCTAGCTCTCTCTCTCTCTCTCCTCTGTGAAAAGGCTGAAAAGACATGCAGTGTCAGTTTTGTCTGTTGTATTAAATCGGTATAGTAGAGGAATCAATTTATAAATTTATACGGAGCCAGACAGCACGCATCTTGAGAAAATTGATGGATGGTGGATTCTCCACCGGTACATCCCGCCACCGGTAAAAAAAACTTATTCGCTGAGCGCTGGCCTAGCCAGCGACGCATGAACTAGGAGAAGATGCTCAGTGGAACATGTTTTCACTTGAAGCAAACCTAAAACTTCGAATACTAGCCAAGTGCGAAACCACCTTCGTTCGTGCTAGCCATTGGTTTTGACCCCCGGATTGTTAGTTGAAACCCTGCCGGTTCTAATCGCGCGTTCATCGAACAAGTGGAGGGTGTTCAAAAAAGAGAATCGAACAAATGGAGCATATCTTAATTAATCAAGAGCCCAGTGGATCGCGGCAGGGCACGTAGCGTGAGCTATATAAGCGAGCACGGCACGGCAGGGCAGGGCACAACACCGAGCAATTGCGTTCCAAGCAACCGAGCCCAGTGGACCGGAAGAAGCATTCATTAGCTTGCTCTCCCGCAGCGCGGCGGCTATGGCGGCTTCTCATCGTCTCCCCGTCCGAGCGGTGAACCTCGGCGGGTGGCTGGTGACTGAGGGCTGGATGTGGCCGTCGCACTTCGAGGACATACCCAACAACGATCTCCTGGTAATTAACGCCGTAGCTTTGCATATGCATGCCGCCGGCCGCCGCCATGGCTCTCTGTTTTTAGTTTCTTGATTGACGGATGAACACGCGGACGTACGTACAGGATGGCACGCAGCTGCAGTTCAAGTCGGTAAAGCAGAACGCCTACGTGGCCGCGGAGAATGGCGGCGGCTATGGCGATTGGCGGCTTCTCATCGTCTCCCCGTCCGAACGGTGAACCTCGGCGGGTGGCTGGTGACTGAGGGCTGATTTTTTTTTATTTTTTATTTATTTTTTTATTTTTTTGCGATGGGACTTATCTAGGGGTTTTGACTAGCACAAAAAATAAGTAATTAGAAAGCTCATTTTCTTTCATAATCCAAACTATTAGTCACATTCCGTTGGTGGCGTGCAGGCAAACAAAGATGGCTCGTTGGCGGCGAACTATGGCCAGAGCACCAGCTGGGGTGACGACGACCCGTCGATGTTCGCGGTGACCAGAGTTTCTGGGCTCCAAGGGGAGTACCAAATCTGCAATGGCTATGGGACGGCAAAGGCTACACCTATTCTCAGGGTAAATTAATACATTGAACAACAGTGTGGCCACTGCTCCACTTGCTGCCCCTACTGTTTCGATTCGAAACAATAGTGAGCAACACTCATAGATTATGCATGCTTATCATGCATGATACGGAGATCACTGTCCTCGGTGGTTTCCCTCCTCATTGATTCTCTTGTGTTATTATATATTAGTCCACTTGCACGAGGAAACCAAGAATGAGTCCTAGTGGCGATCATTGTGCCGATAATCTGATCAGATACACCTAGTTTGAAATCATTGCATAAAAAACCAACTCGAAATGGGAACTATTCATGGCACCTAGTGGCGATCATTGTACCAAGAACTTAGTATTATATTATCTAACTGATTGTGTGTTTCTATTATTACTATTTTTGCAAGAAGTGTGATTTTATTGTCTTGACAAGGTAGATACCCAAAGCTGGCAGAGTTTATAGCTAAACTAGGAATAAGTATC